AGCGAGCGAGCGAGCGAGCGAGCGGGGCGGGGGGACGGGCAGGAGGAAGTCACCGGGTTCGAATCCCGGTTTCCCCTCTGAATCGCGGTCAATGCTCAGGGCAGAGGGAAGAAGCCGGGGGTTGGGTGGCGGCAGGCTATTTTATTGATGCGAACATGATTGTTTCTCTGTTGCTGAAAGCATAACTCCCCTTCTCCAAACTGGCGCCGTGCAGCTGTATGGGACTACAACTTCCATTACCCGCAGCCAGCCCAACGGCCGGATTGATTGATTGATTTAGCGTGCGGCATCTCCTACGGGGACTTGCATTTAGCCCAAGTGAAAAGCACTTTAAACTTTGAATATGAAACAGCTCTAAATGCAGAGGCCAACGTCTAGGCCGTCTAACCACTGAAGCGCAACATCATTTCTATCTATCTAAAAAATCAGATATTGGCCCATTATGTAGGAAAGTCTGGGAGAAGCCTGGGCGGAAAGGAGTTAAGTCTAGTGAACTCCTGGAGGAGGCGTTCCTAGAGGGCAAGAAGCGGAAGGGAGATCCCAGCTAAAAAAGGAGAAGGTAAATACGGCCAGACCCCTTTCCTGTTCCGACGTTTATTCCCCTCCCTCTGGAAACAGGCGTTTTCCACCCTCCTTGGGATGCCGATGCATTCAAAAGGGCATTTCTCTTTCCCTGCAACAGTTGCACGGCGGGCATATGCCGCGAGGGAGACCTGCCGCGTGCAGTCAGGTTCAGGAAAATTGGGTGAGTTTTTAAAAAATAAAGGGCGGGTAGGTTGGTGGGAGGCAGGAGGAAACCTGGTCAGAGAGGAGCATGGACTTCAGCTCCCATAATCCTTAACCAACCCAAGGGAGCACGCCTGTTGAGGTCCAGTGCAGCTGAAGGGCGCCAGGTTGGAGAAGAAGCAAACAAAGGAGACGACTAGGAGGGGGGATCAGGGCAAGTCTCCCTTCCGATTTTGAAGGCGTTTGAAGAGGAAAGGTTGGGCTTCCAGTGCAAGAGACAGACGTCCTTGTATTGGAAAAAAAAAGGACATAGAGTTTCTTTGGATTGAGGCAGTGGATAAATCGTGTCAATAAATAATCAGAGAAGAACGGCTCTACTTCCCCTTGACATGTGGCTTTTTTACAGGCAGGTGCACTCCTGGGCATTCACTAACACGAGCCTCTGATTTATCGAGAGCCGCAAAGGTGTTGGATTAGAATTACAGGTGCTCCTCATTTAGTGACGGCCTTGTTTAGTGACCGTTTGCAGTTACGACGGTGAGGAAAGAGTAACTTTGCAACCAGTCCTCATGTTGACGACCTTCGCAGGTCTGTAAAGCCAAGGAAAGCTGAAGTCAGATCATAAGCCCAGTTGCAGTTTCACTTAGTGACCGCTTTGCTTAACGACCAAGTTGTCAGTCCTGATTGTGGTTGCTCACTGAGAACTAGCTGTCCTTTTTTCCTTCCTGAATAAGGAAAGAATAGATGAAAGAGATGGGAAAGAGCTTTTTTCCCCTTCCTGTGAGTATAAATAAAATTGGACTCGTTTGAACAAACAACCTGACTTCGGGCAAGTTGGCTTGTTCTGTGTCTTGTTTGCCATCGTGCACCCATGTGAAAGAAACAGGATAATAGTTCTAAACGTGAGAATGTCTTAGGAAGGCCAGTTAAGCCTTCATGTTCCTCGTTAACCTTCGTTTTCGGTTAAGGAGAACATGGATGAGACCATAGGCCTTCTCCGTGGTGGCCCCACACTCACAACTCTTTAACCCAGAAGTTCATAAACTTCTTTTCCTCCTGGCATCTTAAAGATCACTAAGGATGGATCCATTCCCCTGAGCCCTCAGCCCCCATTGATTGTTAGTGGCATCCATCTAAAACCTCTAAATAAACCTAATCTAAAACCTGCAAAATAAAGGGCTAAAATAAATATATCCATGTTGGTGTCACGTGTTGGTCCTGAGGCAGCTTGCCTGTTGTACCACAATTACTATTGTACTGTGATTATTATATATAGTTTGGTTTGGTTTTCTATAGGCCAGTGTTTCTCAACCTTGTCCACTTTAAGATGCGTGGACTTCAACTCCCAGAATTCCCCAGCCAGCAAGGCTGGCTG